GAACATGCCTATCCTGGCCTTTCTGGCAGGAAAGCTTCATAATTTGTGACCCGCTCTGCAAAAAAGGGTATTAAGTCGAGCAACGCCAAAACACGCAATGGCCTGTTCTATTTGGAGAGGGGAAAATTTCTACAAAAATGTGATTTTGTGTTTGTTTCTGTTAATAGCTTATGTAATATTTATACTTTTAGAATTTGTGACTATATGGACACTGATGAATAAAGATGAAAAATTGATGATTTAGTAAGAAATCCCATGTAGCATTGTGTTTCCAAGCGCTACACTCTCAAGCTTTTTCTCGAAAAAGTGATTTCATTGAATCCGAAAATTTGGATATACAAATGTCTGTATATCTCCAGAACGCAGCGCACTCCAGGATTCATTCATATATCACATTGTAGCTTTTAATGTACAGAATCCAGCCGTATCAGAAAGTCACAACCTGAATCTGGTGACTTAGTACTCATTTTTCTACAGCTGGTCACATTTGTTCTCCAACAAAAGAAAGGACTTGGAAATGTGCCGACGACCAGTTGCAGGCAGTACAACACAGCACAATGCTTTGGCCGGCAACTGGATTTCCCTATTAAAAGCAGGTTAGTCTCGTACTAAGCAGATACCCCCCGTTTCGCTAAGCAGATATGTTGTGGCTACTTCTCCTGCTTACCGGTAGTTGAGCAATCTTCTCCCGCTCGAGCTTCTCTTCCTGCTCGTCGCTCTTCTCCTTCTCAAACTCCTTCTGGCACCGGTTGATCAGGAGAGTTCGGAACTGCACCATGCCGTTACCCGAGGCCGCCGGCACTTTCAGCTGCACAAGATGTCGGAAAAAAATTGCGCTCTAATTTCGTTCACACAGACTGGCTACCTGGGCTGGCCAGTTTTGGTTAGTTTGGAAGTAAAATCATGTTCATGCCATTTCTTCCTTCTGCTGTCTTGCTAGGAACCTTACGAAATCCTACTCTGTGTACGAGGCCAATTACTGTTTCAATTAAAATTTTACCCAAATGAGTGATGCTTATATAGTGCTAGGTATGTGTGTAACTTTTAAACTGCGATGTATACGTGTATATGTAAGATATGTACGTATATAAATGTTATAAAGCACTCCACCATTGCTACCCCCATTCGTTAGGCCATTAGGTCACTTTTCTATGCCAGCAATTGAGTTCAGTGCAATCTGTTCCATACTCTCACAGGTGGCCATTAATTCCCCTGGGAGGAAGGAGGCAATTGCAGCAGAGTGTCTTGCCCAAGAACACAGACGCCTTCCAGATTCCTGCAGAATCCTGCTCAACCTCACCGTAGGAACTTTTCACCATCTGGAATGAACGGGATTCAAGTAGCCAAGGGGACCTGACCAACAATCGAATGCCTCTTGATTTTTTGAGGGGGGGAGGGGAAGCCTCTGGTCTGGACTCTTACCTGTGACAGATCTCGACACAGCTGGGCGTACGTCTTGCTGAAGGAAGATTCGCTGATTGCCTACAACCATACAGAAATGCCGACAGAATTATTCGTGGAACGCACTACCTTGTTTAAAAAGCAGATCTATACACACAGAAAAGAACTCCCCTATACTTCAGCTACAATACCCCAGGCACCTATGAGGAATCCTTGGTTTCATCAGGCATGGAACTTGGGTTTAACAAAATAACAAAAAGTACCCAATGGTATGAGCATGAAGTGAAACACGAGGGATTCAGCTGATCCACAGAGAAGCTGCATACCCGTTTCGTGACCAAAACCATCAAGATAAATGACGGTATGTGTTTCATGACGTCTGATAGTTTGGCTAAACTGGTAACAAAAAAAAAAGAAGACAGATTAACACCCTAAGTTGTTTGCCACTCCCAACCCTCCTCTTTTCAACTGAGCGCTGAAATTCGCTCACCTTCTCAAAAACCAAGTCAATGACACCTTTTAATCTTTCCTCTGTGTCGATGTTGTAGCCGATGGCTTGCGTCTTCAATTTCTCGTAGTTATTTGGCGTAAGCTTGTTCAGGAGACTCTTGATTTTCTTGAATAGCTCCTGCAGGGCAGAAAAGAAGACTAGCTACATGCAACAGCGGGTACACCAGACCACTGATCTCTTCATACTTACTAAAAAGAATGTCCAAGCCAAGGACTGGAAGTCACTGGGTGCCATCTTGGGAGGTTGGACTCTTTGGGCCTATTCGTTTTTCACACAGATTGGCAATCCCAGAGCTGGTTCCCACTATCCATTAGGCAGGTTCTGGTATCAGTGAACCAATGCCACATCACTGTCCCTAATGCACTTGTATTAACTGAAGCCAACAGCAGCTATGTACGAGCAGCATGCCAAGTACAGAAGTGATCAAGTGGGCACAAAGTCACAAGAAAAGCCCCATTTAAAAAGCTGCACGCACAAAAAGTCACGTCATCACCATTATGCAAACATGGCAATTGATACAAGCGCGGCACCACTCGCTCAATAACTTTCGAAAGAAACAGAGCAACTAGTGGCCTCTCTTTCTGCAAATAGCTATCTCATAAAATTGTTTTGCCCCTTTTCTGATTGATTTGCAGTCTGTAAAGTTAATAATGGGGATAGTTTCAAATACATCATCGGGTAACCGGTATGTGTGCCCCTGCAACCGGTGAAGACCTAAGACCAAGCTCCACACTCAAGATTTGGACACCGTCCCCCCTCCCGTATCCTTCAAGCACTGACCTTGGTCTTGGCTTCTTCCTCGTCAGCGGGCATGTCCTTGTCGGGCTTCCAGGCATTCTCCCCGGCCGTGTTCAGCTTGATGGGCTGTGAGACCCGCTGGATGACCTTCTTGGGCTCCTTGGATGACCGCCGACCGCCAGCCGGCATACCCTGGCCAAACGGGGGCTGGGGCTGCAGTGCCAAGAGGGCATGAAAAGAAATATGCACTTTCATGATGTGGTGAGGATCCAGCATTACAGAAATCTGGACTTATTATTGAATTACTTGGTGCTCAGAGAGGACATTTTCATTTCAATGAGTACAAAGAACTTGGCACTGGTGTGCCGAAAACCACAGCCCGGCCAAATGCTTTCAACTACTGCATGAATAAATCAGCCAACTCTGGCAGATTTTAGAGGATCAAGTCTAACAGAACATACGACTGATTTAGGCAGACCGAAGTCACATCCCAATGCCCTCGTGGCCAACTTGAGGCTGGGATGGTTGCTATCAATCAGTCAATGAATTCTGCAGTAACCACGGGAAATCAATGGCCTCTGGAATGCAGGGCTTCAACTCCCTTAAACAGGGATTATCATAGAAATTATCGATTGTGACGTTTAACGACTGTGCCTCACTGTTTCCTGTGCGTAATTGTGCAGTATGAACCAACTGTAGCGATGAGGACTGCAGAGAAGACCCTGTGTCATTTTGAGCAGGCTATCAACTGTACACACGCTGAGGCTGTGTGTATTGAGTTCATTATAGAAAACACATGCTGGTATTTGTGTATCTCTGTGCTGTTAAATCACAGAAGGCAATGCACACTATGGCACAGCTTTACATCTTTGTTCTGCTTACCAACCGACCCACAGAATGACCTCAGCATAAGGACGGCGTTGAGGCACGGGAAGATTCTGTGAGACCGAGAGAGCATCCCACTGCGAGGACCTAGGGTGTTTGTGCTTGAAGACTCACCATTAAAAAAAAAAAACCCTAAGGGACCTTGTGCCTCAGTGACTGGTACTCACCATACCGCGGGGTGACTTGAGATATGACGGGGTGAAGTCAGCTCTCGGTATCTTGCCAGGGGGGTCAAAACTTGGAGGTCGTATCTCAGCCTGTGCGGGTGGGAAAAGGGTTGACAAATGTAACAAAGTCAGAAAGGAGGTACTTTGACTTTCAAAAACCCACGTCTTTAATGCACTGTGCTTTGTAAGTCCAATGAATGCCTTTCCAGAAAGTTTCATCTGTTCAGTTGACCTTTTTTACAAGTCGGCCATATTGAATTGAAAGTGAGGTCAACTTTTTGACTTTGGGAAATTAAGAACAACATATCATTTAAATGATGGAAAATACAAACTTTGTGACTTATTGTATCTAAATATTTAAAAAGGAACATTTAAAACAAAGAAAGTGAGACATTGAACCCAAAGTAGTCTGGCACTACCTCATTTGGTAGATTACATTGAATAAGATGGATTCGAGGAACATGATCAAAAATGGCTTCCTTGTGAATAAGGTCTAAAGTGTAATTCAACAAACCAAAAATAAAATCCATTACTGTTGAGGCACATCGTTATGGGACTGGTGGAACGGGCGCGGTACACGCCTCTTTGACTAACAGGGTGTCTTAAATTGCCAAATGGAATGCGCACGTTGAGATGAAAAAATATGCGAGTGCAGTGCCACTGCAGTTAAGTCCGGTTCATAATTCATGCGAAAGCGAACACCAACACGAATGTGTGCCGTCAGATCAAATACTCACGCTGCAACTTTGCAAAAGAGGAACACATTTCAACTCTTTTGTCACAAATCTTAGGTGATGTCAAGCTCGCTTCGCTTTCGCACTTGCCTGTAGTATGAACCGCGCTTTATGGCATCAAATCAGGTGAGTCAACTCAAACGGTGCTATTTGTGGTTACCTTATCCAGCACAATGTCTGGAATGTGTGGAAGCCCTTCTGGTTTCTCCTTGCAGTCTTGCTGGAATTGCAGCAGAAAGTCCCGGTTGTATTGCTTCTTCCCTTCAGGATTCATGGGGCTCCACTGGTCTGTGGCACATCGTGAAAGAGATCAAAATGGGCTTGAGAAAACCCCTCAAAACAGAGAGAATGGTTGCAATCAAAGAGCCGAGCTGGTCCATAACGGATGAGATCGTAATAGCATGGTTTTGTTTCATCTCTGCAGAGTCTGGAATTGGACTGATGCGATGACGAGGAAGAGGGCTTTTAATAATATGGATATATAAGAAAAAACTTGTCATCAGACATCATCATGGTGACACCATCATGGTGACACCATCATGGTGACATCATAATGGTGTCACCATGCCCACTGCATACCGAGTCGAAAGTTTCTTGAGATGATTCTGCGTTTCTCTGTAAGTGTACAAGAAAATTGCAGATGCATATCTTCAAGTGATGGTCAATGTATCTTTCACAAGTAAAGAATACCAGATTGGGGTTATTTCCAAGGGCGGCGCCAAGAATGGTCCAAATTGGGAACAGCTGAAAAGACCCTGCATGTGGGAACCTACCTATGCGACTGGACCACACAGAATGTGACTGAAGCCAACAAAACACCTTTCAGATTTTTGTCAGATCACCAGTGCCGTTTGTATTACGGTAGACAGAAATGTTACCCGCACTCTTGTCCGATTCCATTCTGTTTATCACCCACCTGATCAGTCACATGCTACCCAGTCACATGATGGTTCCCTATTCCTACACCATGATGATGTCTGATGACAAGTTTTTTCTTATATATCCATTCCTACATCGGCTGCCACTTCAAATCCGCGATTTTCTTCATTTGTGAACACATTCCCTTACTCAGAGGAGTTGGATTTGACTAGAGGCCACGCCTCTTACCTTCCCTGTAGGTGTACTTCAGTTGAATTTTGTTGTCCTTCAACGACTCCTTGCGTTCCGTGTCCTCCGTGCCTTCCTTGCTCTTGGGGTCTTCTGATTCTGCCGGCTCCGGTTCCGGCTTTCTCTCCCCATCCACCACCACCGATGCCACAACCTCCTTCGGTTCTGCCTCTTTGGCCTCCTCCACCGACTCCGCCCCCTTTGTCGGCCCTTCTTCTGACGCAACCTTCTCGGGCTCCGCCTCTGGCTTGTGAGCCACGTCCTGAGTTGTGGCGGGTGAAGTCTCGGGCGTGGACTCGGGCGTGGTCTCGGGCGTGGTCCTGGGTTTGGTCTCGGGCGTGGTCTCGGGAGTGGCATTCTCCACCTCCTTTGGCGCTGGCTGCACCTCTTTTTCACTCTCAAGGGACTCCTCCACCTGCTGTAACAGAGACCAACAAGTTTGAAATCAATGTGACAAATTTTAGGAATAAAAGGCTCAATCTTCCATGGAGGAAACAGTCTTTTACGCTCTCCATCCTCAATCCCAAGGACGCATCCTCTGTACTTCGTCTTGATATATTTAATCTCCCTTGCACTTCAGCACTGAAATTTAATAGCAGTTTGGATATTTTAATAGTTTAAATTTGCTTTTCTCTGGTGATGTGCTGTTGTTCCATTTCCCTATAGCTGGCCAGTGAGCAATGGTTTCTCAGAAAATGTTTTCAATGAGAAAAATCATCGGTTTTACTTGAATAGAAAACAGCTCTAATGAACAGTGTCCTCTTGAAATGGCACCACAGCGATTGGGATCGAAAGGCGAAAGGGATGGAAAATTGTCAGTGCCAAGAACAAATTCACTTCAAACAGGACGGACCGCAAAAAAATTATGCAAGACAATTTCTCGTACATTTAACAACATGTTCCCACATTAAAATAACGTCATGGTAATGAACTCCGTGTAGAATTGGACAAACTGGGTGGGGGGAGGTGGGGGGAACAGCGCTCACCTCCGTGGAGCGGTAAGCCTCAAACTCATCCTCATCCTTGGGAGCCTTCTTCTCGATATCCCTAAATCGATTCTTCTGACTCTTCTTTTTACTCGGCTCTTTTGTGGCTGATGGGTGGGGGAGAAAAAATTGGAGATAAAATGGGCAAAATAAAGTGACAACATGACATATCACTAGTCTCTTTCTGGGCCTGCATCTTCCTAGATGTACATGTACATGTAAGTTGTTATATTTTCACATTTTTTATTTCCTAGTGTTAAAGGAAAAGTCCAACATTTGCAGCTGTCCACAAAGTAACAGACGCAATAACTGTTGAAAAAGTATACTTCCTTTGACTCCAACCCTGCCAGACGCAGCACAGTGCATTGGGTGAAAAAGTCTGATGCCCTTGGCAATCAACAGCAGCCGAACAAACTGGCCATGTTGAGACAATGGTAGCTAATCCCATTGAACAATGCCACTGTTGGATCTTGTGGTGACTGTCAACTACAAGACTCCCAGGCTGTTTGGCCTTGGGGTGAGTTGACCAGTCGGATCCACTGGGCGGGCAAACCGCTTTGACAAATGATGCAGTCTGATGCGTCTTCAACTTTATTTCCAGATAAAAACCCTGCGTCTGGCAGGGTTTCTAGCTGAGCCTAAAGATGCGTAGCTGGGCTTTCATTCAGCAAAGCGCACGCAAACACCGATATGTTGCACACACACACACACACACACGCACGGTTGCTACTGTTTGTCAGTTCAATGTATAACATCGTATAGCTGCAATCAATTAAGAGACTGTCTCAGATGCTGAATTTTGGGTACAATTCCAAACATTACAATAACTTTTGAGTTGAAACTGAGGTTCTAAAATATTGTTGTTCCCGCAATATACAGCATTCACCAAGCTGAAACTTCATCGGGTTAGTTGCATTAAAAACACCTTCAGATTTTGGGCACTTTTGCTGCCTTGAAAGAACTTAACGCACAAATTAATGACAAGTTACAGGCTGCACCTGTGACTTCAAGACGAGAATGCAAATCTCCAAACACATTTTGAGTGGCACTGTGTGGGCCAAAAACGTTTCATTAACCCTAACCCTCCCAAATCCTTTTCTGCAAAGTGGAGGAATTTGTAGGATTCAGGACGTATGGCAAAAGTGCATGGCTGATTTCGTAGGATGGCATGCTTATGTTGTTTGTGCTTAGTCAAGCACAAATTCAGCCCAATGTTTCTTTTGAATCAACGACACAGCTCAAGAGTGCCATTTGCACTGCCTCAACATGACAGGAATTGCTGGAGGATTTTGAAGGATTTGGGCTAAATGCAATTTTTCATGTTGAAAATTGGAGGATTCAGGATGGTTCCTAGTAAAAGGGCCTAGGGGGTTAGGGTTAAAAGAAGGACAAGTTTTAAACCATCTTTTGTGATGTCCAGGTACATTCAAGAGTTACATGAAGTGTACTACTCTGTGAACACAAAAATTCAACACCATTTTCACGGACACACATCTGCAGGTCAGTTGGATGGAAGGCCATGCATCTACCGCTGGTAGACCTATACACAATCTGTAACCTGGATTCCAGGCAAAATTAACTATTGGTTGATGAAGGGACCTCGCTTGAATTTGCACAATTCTGCAACCACCAACGGAAAGAATTCAGCACACTTCTGCTATGCCCAGGTATGAGGGCAAGTGTCCACGTTCAAACTGAACACTGCTGGCAACCGGATGACCCACCTGCTTCCTTGCTTTCTTCTCGTTTTGCTGGCACTGCGCTCTCCTCTCTGGAAGCTGGTTTGGCGGTCACCACTTCCTCCACCTTGCCGGCCAAACTCTCCTCCGACTTTGGCTGGGAGGTGACGGGCTGGCTGGCTTCGGCCGGCTTCTGCGCATCCGACTCGGCCTGTTCGGCAGCTTCCTGGGCTGGCTTGGCCTCTGCCTTGGGAGCCCCCTTCAGTGAGTCCCTGGGCTCTTGACTGAGTTCTCCCCTCTGCGGGGGCACAATGCTCGGCGGCGGCATATCAGTTCTGCTGTCCACAGCGTCTGTGGACTGAGGAGGTGGCACAGGCTGAGTCTGCGCAGGTGGTGCACTGTTGGCTGTGGCGGCTGCCGTGTGGGATTCAGTGGCAGCGGTGGGATTCACGGCTGCCGGCCCGCTGGCCTCCTTGGAAGACACCTCGGCAGAAGGAGGGGAAGGGGGCTTGGTGGGCTCCCCAGCTTTGGCTTCGGGTGGTGGCAGTGGGGCGCTGACTGCCGGGCTGGCGTGGGCCGGCTCCACCGTCACCACCTGGCCGGGGGATGTCGTGGCGCCTGGCTGAGCATCCGTCGTAGCCGCGACTGCCACAGGGGGCTGCTTGGGCACCGCGGTTTCCGGCAGTGACTGCTGCTGTGGCGGGGCTACGGCCGCTGGCTCTGGCGTCGCGGGAAACTGCGTCTCCGTGGGCGTGGGAACAGGGCTCTCATGGGCCAGCCGCGCAACCTGGGCGGCAAAGGTTGCCTGAATAGCCGCCTTCTTTTCATCCACCTGGTAATTCTGTGGAGGTGTTTGAGACTGTTGGATTAAGCAGAGTGAAGGGGGACAGAAAAAGCGATTCACATCACAGCGACCACCACGAGCAAAACTCAAAAGAAGAAAAGAAAACGGCAACTAAAATCTACAGAAAGACAATTTCACATGACTGCTAACAAGACTTTTTGTAGTCACGGATATAAAGAAGGTTGACTCTTCTCATTTGGTCACGGTAAAAGAAAAGGGTTTGAATTGGAAGAATGCACGGCCAATGCTGTAAGAATGCTGTAAGCCTTAGAAGTGAAACCCTGGCAGATTGCACGATAACATTTTTGCAATGGCTGTGTTCAATTTCTCGGAAATTATTGCTCATAGTTAAAACATCGAAAATATGCACAGGCAAAAATGCCCTGTTGCCACTGAATGTGCTTCCTTCGTATGGAACTGAGAAATCAAAAACAGAATAACACATTACAGTTGTTGAAAAAAAGGGATAATCCCTTCATGGTTTGTGGGAGGAAACTCATACCAGGCATAGCAAAACAGTCAGTCAGTTCCATGTCACTGCCAGTTATGATTTATCTCTTGGGCAATGACTTTATCGCAATCACTCAGAAAAGAACGTATCACAACCTCTACTGAATGAAAAACAACCGAGTAAGTATAAGAGCATGCAGAATTTGTTTGGGAAAGAGGCCGCCATGTACATTATGTTGTCCGCAGTCAATGTGTTCAAAAAGGAAAACACTGAAAAGGGCAGTAGGTCAAGTGCAAAATCACCTTTACGTGACAATGCTGGTAGTTAGCGTGCTTTATTTGAAATTTTTTTTAAGCAAGATTAAAAAAAAAATTGGACGACCCAACTCACTGAGGGAGGTGTGTCCGAAGCACTGGAGTGGCCTGAGTGTGGGGACTGGTTGCTGGCCGACCGGCTGGCATCCCGGATGATGGTGTCAGTGATGTCCTGATTGGACTTGGGGTCCACGATACGGATGATGTTCTTCTTCTTCGGGGGGTTGTACTGGGGGGCCTGGGGCATCTGGAAGGGCTGGCGAATCTGCTGCTGGGCCACCACCATGCCCTGCTGGTTGGCGCCGGGGAAAAAAGTTGGGGCTGGTGGTGGTCAGAGGAAAGCACAGGAAAAAAACAAAGAAAGTTAAAAACCTGCGTCCCCTCCTCGCGCCGGTGGAAGATTTCAAACAATTGCGGCTCAAGGTTGCAGCTGGGGGGGAAAATGGCATCGCTGGATTGTTTGCGGGATCAACACCCAAGCGTGAGTAGCATCAGCTGCAAGAAACAGCAGTGCGTGCGTGGGTCAACTGAATCAGGGTTTGTACAGAAATCCAAAACACCCAAATCCTTGACTTTTCCAGGACTAAAATATGACAACTTCCACAACATTCAATGCTGTTTTTCAGATAATTCGTTGTTTGGTACTATGAACAGGAACACTGCCATAGCCAATACCACAAGACCGACAAGTCTCGCCCGTAAATGTATCATTATTTTGCTATCATATAAAAGGTTGCGCAGCAAAAACTAGCCCTTGCATGATCTTGATTTCCAAAACTTTCCCACAACTTTTTATCCCGGATATTTCACGACCGCAGAAACCCTGCGAAGAAATGTACACTCAAACTAAAAAGGTGGAAGGTGAAGCATGAGACTATTTCAGGGCTTTCGGTGCTTTCTTTTATCGTTGCCAGAATGCTGACACTGCTGTGTAATGCAGCAAAATTGTGCGGGTAGATCGGCTTCACTTTTGTCTCGGGAACTGGCTGGTGATGCGGAATGCAAGCTACACCTTAGCCACGTTGGCGTAGCTACAACTTAAAGAGGCTTTTGTCTCCCCAAAAGGTGCGGTTGATGTTGAAGGATGCGGCGTGTCAAGGACTTGGGCCAGACCTGGTGCAGTTCAAACGGGCTAGGCTACATGTAAAAGTAGGCCTAGAATTGAAGACACTACTCGAACAGAATCGACACAATGACAGTGATTGCTGGGGGAATTAGGATTTCGAATTTGTCACACATCTGAGGATCGTTTTCAAGAAATAAGACGACTTTGGACAATTGAGCTTGCACCCAACTTTCAGATCGAGGCAGTTTGAGAATTTCGCAAGGTACAGAGTGCATCCTAACAAGTCACATGTGAGGGATGGTCTTCTCCAACAAAATCTGAGGGTTTAAACAGGGTAATACTGGACAAATGCCACACGGAAAACAAAGCTCTAGTCGGAAATAAAAAAAGAAACCCACTGTTTGTCCATTGTAATCACAATTGGTTCCCAAGTCCTGTGCACCCCAACTTCCCCCCTTGCAACCTTGAATCCTTAAAATGAAACCTACCTCCTTGTAGACTGACGGAAGGGGTGTTATAGTACGGGGGTGTGCCAGGCTGTTGGTACACCTGACCCTGTGGTGTCTGTGCCGTGAACTGTGGCGGGGGAAACACCTGCCTCTGTTGGTACTAAGGAAACAACACCCAAGCAAAAGCCAATTATTATTATTTATACTCAAAAACATGCAACCAAGCTTGCCTTGGGTGACCTTTAACCCCTTCGCGCCGGCACTCTTTTGACAGCGACTGCTGGGCTGCGGTATGCCCAGCAAGCAAAGCTCAGTCCAGCAGCAGGCCCACAATGAACCAGCAGCTGCATGGTGAATAGACTGTGTGTGTGGTATGCACTAATCCTCAGACAATGGTGCTGCGTTTGCAGTCCTCCGTCGCGAAGGGGTGAAGACTTGGAACAAATCCACAAAAGAAGTACTCTACAAACTGCTCAGATCCATATTGTTGAGGTTATTCTTGTCTTTCCTTTTCATTTCTAAAATATGAGGAGGCAAAATTGGCCGAAAAATATTTGTGGTCCTAAATATTGGTGAGGCGGGCCGTCTCACACTTGGATGGGCAGGAAAGTGGGAAACTCCTGCTCGAGTTGCTTGGGAATTGAAGGCAGTGCTCGGGCGAGCTGCTCGTGTTAACCCGCGAGCACACAAACGGAGTGTGACCCACAGGGAAGTGAGAGTACATTCTCCATCAGGCCAGGAATATAATTCTTACATTCCATGGTTACTTCAAGATGGCAGACAGGGAAATGTTTTCCCTTCACATAATGTGATCCCAGAAGTACCATGCATGCGGAATAATCTCCATCCCCGAGAGCAACACACACACAAGAATACGGCCTGTTTAGTTTTAAGGGCTGGACGGTCGTTATCTTTGGGGGGGGGCGTTTGCTCATGGGGCAGGGGACGGATGTGGGATGGGGGAAAAGTGTGATTGTCACAAGAGAACCCCATTTCGCACCTGCTGTTGTGTGCCTGGTTGACCCTGGTACTGCGCTTGTTGGGAATAGACCTGCTGATCTCTCTGTTGCTGTGACGGATAATGCTGAAAGAACATACAAACACAAAGCCCACTGGTCAAAAAATAACATAACTCACTTCAGCCTGAGGAGTGGAATTGCTACAAGTCTCTAGATTTGCATGTGCCACTGAGGTGTGACCCAGACTCAACTTCCGGGCACTGCACAACTGCTGACAGAAGGGCAAAAGGGCCGGCTAAATGTAAAAGTGGTCTTTTACACAAACTACTCTCCGTGGCATAAGCATCCTGAACACTTCTGCACAACGAAAAATTCCAAGAGCTGGGGGGCCCTTTTAACAAACTCTGATCTATTTCTCTGCCTTTCATTTATAAAATTCAAAAATGGATGATGCCTCCTCCAAGGAAAAAGCTATGAGTGGATTTCTAAGAGTGAAAATTCAGATTTTCAATTCAATTAGCCTTTCTCAACTCCTTGATGAAATAAATATATGCTATTCTCCCGGCAATGCAATTATCAATCTCCTCATCAACTGTTCTCGCTATTTCACAAAACAAAAAGAGCTGAGAGCCGTGACCACTGACCATGACCACGTAGGGCTGGAAGGGAGGATTCATCTGGCCGGTAGGCATCTGCTGGGGGGCGGAGGTGGGTGCCGGGGGGATCTGGATGCCGCCCCGAGGGTTGGGCTGGTTGCTGATGCGCTGCATGAAGACCTGGGGATATTACGTGTTGTTGAGTAACAATTTAATGCAAATGATTAAAGCACTCACAGGGCACATGTCTCGTACAATTCTGTTCAAATGCACTGTGCAGTGACGACATTCAACCACATGTGCAATGCGGTCAAGCAGAAGGCATACACGCAGGCATCTCGGGCAGCTGTCTATTATAAATATGCCGGAAGTAACAAGAAGAGACTACGGACTTCAGAGTTGGTTCTTTGCAACTGAATTCTGTCACAAGCCTGCTTCACATATCAAGTTACTTGCACATACAAGTGTGAATCTGATTAGACACCTTAACCCTCCTATGGTTTTACAGCACAGATCTGCACAAATGCCCACAGTCACTGGTGAGCATGTAGTTTCTATATGGAACTCAAACATGCACAGGTTCAGTGTGTACACAGTAGGTTGTCAGCACAAAATGAACCAGGG